TGACATTCCAAATTCTTAGGTTTTGACACATTTTGTTAAAATTTGAAATCATTTGGGCGAGAATTGGCTACTACAAAATGATGTCAATTTTTGGAGAGACCCTGTATTGTGGCTCTAGTATGATTCACTTGTAGTAAATAGAAGTCACCAATAAATTCATTTGTTAAGTTTTAAACAGAGTCCATTGGTTATTTCAAGGAGAAGAAAGACAGCTTTTCCTTTGCAGCTTCGAGGATACAAGAAAAAAAATGACTTGTACGATCGTTTCAGTTTCAATTTCGATCTGTGGATACGCAACACTAAGACGACTCGACAGGCAAACGGAGAGCTGACATTATTATATAGTCTGCGAGTATGTGCTTGGCGAGTACGAGACGCGTATAGGGGTTACAGGTAAGCAACTAGCGCTAGTCTCGTTGAACCGATGTGCCATTGAGGTTATTAAACTATAATTTTTTGTGGTTAGGGACACCCTGTATTTTTTATCGTTTTACTTAGAGTGGTTGCCTTAAAATAACAAAATAATCAAATGATATCCCACGTACAAAAAACAATTGAAACCTGATGATGGCCATAATTATACTTGCCCGAAACGTTTTGTCTATAATAACATCTGCATCTTTTTGGTCCGTTGATTTGTTTTGTATTAAATATTTTACTGTTTTAGTAGATGTATTGTATTTATGTATGTATTTATGTACATGATGTATATTATGTATTATGTATATTTATGCATGTATTTTCTATTAAACTTTCACTGTTTTAGTAGATGTAGTTGTGACAAATTTTATTTTGAGTTTAGAAAAATTCTTTTTAATCGTAGTTGTTATAGAGTTAGTTGATAGAAAAATAACTTTTTTTTTATTCGTTGAGTTTGTCAGGAAGGAATATGAGCTTTTGTTTCGCATTGAAAATACCCTATGAAAAAGGGTACTGAAAAGTCTTTTCAGCATATTTCTCCTCTTCATGTAAATATTGAGGGCTGCAAATTGTGAGTGCTCTTAAGTAGGATCTAATGATTACTCCGAATTTTATTTTGTTATTATGATGCGCGGAGAAATAGACTGTCAAGTGGGGAAGGAGCATCGGACTTACCTTGTCTCACTTGTATTATTTACATTATTCGGACTGTTATACTCATCTCCACTGCCATATTCACAACGTTTTGGTCGTTATACGCGCCGACCTTCTTTAGGCGATTGGAATTTCGAACCGAACCCTTTATCTCGTCCACCGGGGTAGATTGTTCTAGTTCCACGTACCATGCCTCTTTCGGATGTCTCAGTTGTTTTCCCTTTAATTCAATTTTTCAAGTTTTTGGTTCAGCTGGTATTGAACTCACAGGTCTTTTTGGTATAGTCACTGGACCTAACCAACGTCTTTATCCACTGGGCTATATGTCCTTGGAGAGTTGAGTTAAAGGGAAAATAACTGGGATATCCGGAATATATATATATATATATATATATATATATATATATATATATAAATGAACATGGAAGTCAACACTTAGAGGCGACAGTCTGTTTCATACTATATGCAATCGTCAGGCCACACACACACACACACACATATATATATATATATATATATATATATATATATATATGTGTGTGTGTGTGTGTGTGTGTGTGTGTGTGTGTGTGTGTGTGTTTGTAGGAAAAATAGGAAAGAGCATGTTAGGTAAATAATCCGGAGTTCTTTAGTATTTTTGTTTTTATTTAAAAAAAAACAGTGCTCCATACAGAATTAATAATTATATTGAGGTTTTCGGCTCTCGTTTTTGAACGTTCATGTAGCAAAGGAATCATATTTTTTTTAAATAATTATGATATATATATTTTTATATATATATATATATATATATATATATATATATATATAAAATCTGAAGTAATCAGAAAATTATATATATATATATATATATATATATATATATATATATATATATAATTTTCTGATTACTTCAGATTTTTTCATTTAGTGGCTACTCTATATAAATTTAATAGTTCAGTCAAGAAAATTTGAGAAATAAAAAGGGAAAGAAATGATAACAATATTGACAATAAGTTTGGAGATATTCATTATATATTAGACTTTTTGCAAAATTAAAGCACGAAGAGAAAGTTTTTAAAATCGGAATTTTCGGACACGCTCCTGTCCTTTTTCACAGAGACGAGGAATAAAAAAAAAAGTGGCTCTTATTCTTCCGAGGAATGCTGTTGTTGGCTGGTTGGAAATGATATTCTTTGAGAAAACGGAAATCCCTATTTAATGCCTCAATATTTGATTTTATTTTGAAAATATATTTCTGCTCCGATCCGCAGCTTTCTTGTCGGCTCTTAAATGAAGACGCTAAAGTACGCATCTGACGTCATCAAAGCTATGAGACGGTTGGTTTTTCAAGGTTATTGAACCAAAGACACACACACACACACACACACACACGCACGCACACACACACACACACACACACACATATACACACACACACACACACATATATATATATATATATATATATATATATATATATATATGAGTTAGTAGTTTTTTTTTTTCATTTTTTAAATATTTTTTTGTAAAATTGATTTGTGATTTCTTTCTTTTTGGTTTTGTGAATCTCACTTATTCCGATTATTTTTTTTACGGCTTATGAACCTTTTGCAAGTTATTTAAAACCGGAAAATATTTTTAGATTGTAAAATTTTTGGAGGTAACAACGATTTCTTGATACAAATCTTATTAATTAACCCATAGCTGGGGTAAGAAAAGGTGGATTCATACCTTTCTCAAGGGTTATTTGCGCGTAAGTGAATTTAACAATTTCCGCGGGGCTGTCTAAATTGACAAGAATATGGAGGAGCAAGATCAGTTTTCAAACAAAGCACAGACTGCACAAATCGCTGATAGCCTCCATTCTCCTATATGGATGTGAAACGTGGACACTGTTGGCAGATGCAGAGAGAAGGATCCAAGCGTTTGAGAACAAATGCATGAGAAAACTCCTTGGCATTTTCTATTGGGAACAATTAACCGATGGGCTTGTGCGGAAAAGAGTTGAAAGTTTTCTGGGACACCAGGAACCTCTTCTCACCATTGTCAAACGGGGAAAATACCCTGGTTTGGGCACATTGCAAGGGACGACGGGATGTGCAAGACCATCATGCAAAGCACCGTTGAAGGTGGACGTAGGAGAGGACACCAACGCCAAAACTGGTTGCACAATGTTAAACAATGGATAGGTATGACTGTACAAGAATTGCTGATGACTGCCATTAATAGACCGTTGTGGAAAAAACAGTTAGCATGGCTTCTGCATTCGGATCCGCCCAACGATTACAAAAGTCAAGAGGATGAGGAGGAGGAAGAGGGGGAGGAGGAAGAGGAGGAGGAGGAAGAGGAGGAGGAGGAATTTAACGAATCCGACTGAAATTGGAACTCGGCTCACTAACCCTAACCCTCCACACACCCAAGCGTACAAAGTTTTTTGGGGGGATGGAAAATACTTAATCCCCAAAAGGACGCGGAGACACCTTTGGATTCTATCATGACTAGAAAGTGAAACTGGGCAGTTCTATTTCATTCTCTTTTCTTTCTTTTTTTTTTTTTTTTCTTTCTTTCTTTTTTTTTTTCTTTCTTTCTTTCTTTCTTTCTTTCTGTCTATCTAATTCGATTCATATCTATGTATATATTTATTTCAGTCTGTTTATATTTATCTATCTCAGTATGTTCATATCTATCTATCTCGGTCTGTTTCTTTCTTTCTTTCTTTCTATCTATCTATCTATCTATCTATCTATCTATCTATCTATCTATCTATCGCAGTCTGTTTTCTATCTATCTATCTCAGTCTGTTTCTATCTATCTATCTATCTATCTCTGTCCATATCTACCTCAATCTATTCATATCTATCTACCTATCTCAGTTTGTTATATCTATCTATCTATCTATCTATCTATCTATCTGTCTGTCTGTCTCTTCATATCTATCTATTTATCTCAGTGTGTTCATATCTACCTCAATCTATTCATATCTATCTACCTATCTATCTCAGTCTGTTATCTATCTATCTATCTATCTATCTATCTATCTATCTATCTATCTAAAGAACGAACTTCAACTATGCATTAGACAAGGTAATTATAAATGCGTGATCAGTTCCTTGTCGTTGGTGTCTGCTTAAAGTCAAGACGACCTTTTAAAGAAAATTATGAAATATGTAAAGAACTGAGTTATTTAGCTTCGTTTGGCAACCAAAATTAAAATAGTTACGTGGCCAAATAACGATGGATTTCAATCTAAGGTCGAATTGTCATTAGAAGCATTTATTGATGATCAGTCTAATATGTGAAAAAGTTTTATGGAGTTTAGTACTTTAAGAACTTCTCGAAGACATTATTGCATAATTAGACAGAATTTTTAGTTTTTTTCTCTCATCTTCTCGGACTATTTATTTTTCGGGTCCATATCTGCTTTGTAGGCAGGGCTCAAGTGAAACGAAGCAAAAAGCTAATGAGTCACTTTCTTCATTTTTGTTAGTGAAATGATTTTTATTGCAATTCCATGGCTGTGAAGGCTTGAGATGCTTCGAGAATTGCAAGCCGGATCTGTTTGTAATGACAATGGCAAAGGAACAGGGAGAGGACAGTAAATATTGAAAGAATAAATTCAGGTGGGTGCGAAAGTGGATTGTGGAAAACATGATGTCTGATGAAAATCTGGAAAGAAAGAAAGAAAGAAAGAAAGAAAGAAAGAAAGAAAGAAAGAAAGAAAGAAAGAAAGAAAGAATTTAAATAAATACATGAATAAAAGGAGAGATAGAAAAGATAAAAAGATTTAAAATGAAAGAAAGACAGAAAAGGCAGAAAGAAAAGAAAGAAAGACAGACAGACAGAAAGAATAAGAAGAAAAGAAAGAAGAGGGAAAGAAGAAAGCAGAAAGGAAAGAATTTGAATAAATAAATGAATGAAAGGAGGGATAGAAAAGAGAGGAAGAATTAAAATGAAAGAAAGATATAAAGGAAAGAAAGACAAGAAAGAAAGAAAAAGAAAGACAGAAAGAAAGAAAAAGAACGAAGAAAAGAAAGAAAGATGGTAAAAAGAAAAAGAAAGAAAAGAATGAAGGAAAGGAAAAGAGAAAGAAAGAAAAGAAAATGAATAGAAAGAAAGAAAGAATTTAAATAAATAAATGAATGAAAGAATACATAGGGAAGATAGAAAGAATTAAAATGAAAGAAAGATATAAAGAAAAGAAAAAAGAAAGAAAAAGAAAGACAGCAAGAAAGAAAAGAACGAAGAAAGAAAGAGGAAAAAAAAGAAAAAAGAAAAGAAAGAATGAAAGGAAAAGGAAAAGAAAGAAAGAAAGAAAGGAAGACTCTAGCGGAAAAAGAGAATAGGAGATAAACAGTAAGGAAAGAAAAAATGAAGAAAAGAAATGAACAATTTAAAAAAAAAAAAATGAATGAATGAATGGAGAGATATTAGAGATAGAAATAATTTAAAGAAAGAAAGATTGAATCTAGCGATATAAGAAAATAAGAGAATAAATAGAAAAAATAGAAAGAAAGAAAGAATTTTTGAATGAGAGAAGAGAAAGAATTCAAAGAAAGAAGGAATTTAAGGAAGTGATTGAGAGGAAAAATACAGAAGAAAGAATGATTCTTCAAAAGGCGCAAAGATCGAAAGAAAATTGCGTAAAAGACAGAAACCGAAGCAAGGTTTTAAGAAAGGAAGAAAGAGAACGTCACAATAAAGAAAAGGAAGGAAGGAAGGAAGGAAGGAAGGAAGGAAGGAAGGAAGGAAGGAAGGAAGGTAATGAGAGAATATCAAGAAGGAATTTAAGCGAGTAAAGAGTGGCCTCAGAAAAAATATGAAAAGGGCAAGAGAGAAAAGAAAGAAATTTAAATAAATGACTGAAAGGAGAGATAGAAACGATAGAAAGAATTTAAATGAAAGAAAGAAAAAAGAAAGAAACAAACCAACAAACAAACGAAAGAAAGAAAGAAAGGATTTATATAAAAATACAGAAGAAAAACTCTTAATGAGAAGAAAGAGTTATGGAAACAATTATGAAACGTTAGAAAACGTAGTCAGAAAGTGAGAGAGAAAGAAAAGTGCAATTAAAGAAAGAAGAAGACGAAGAAGAAAGCGGAGGTAAAAGGGAGGAGCCAGCCTGTTGAGAATGGTTCGAGATTTGGGCGTGACTCTCGCGTGACTTCAGAGCCAAAGACATCCATGGTGATAATTGTTATCTTCGACACAAGAAGAATAAAGCAAAAAACTATCCCATATTACGCTTCGTATTGTTAAAAATAAAACGCCGTCTCGTTTTCTTTTCATTCCCATATCACGATGTGCTTTATTTGTAAGTTTCTCCTGTGACACAAGATAAAAGACCAGAACGAAAAAGAGAGTAAAAGGCGAAAAAAAAAGACATTTGCATTTGTGTAGAATATGGTGTTTTTGTTGTATTTTGTTTTTTTCTTAAAGAAGAGACTGTAAGGATAAAAGTTGTTTCAAAAATTTAAAGATTATAAAAGGCAATCAAAAAAAAAATTACCGTTCAATTTTAAGAATAACTAATTACAAAAGAAATTTATTAAGAGAGGAAAAACAGTCTCCAGTTATTTCTTTTTTTTTTTATATTTTATTTTTTACATTTTAGGGGGAAAAAATTAAATAAAAGCTAACTGAAATTTAACTTGTTTTTTTTTTCTTCTCAAAGCGGGAAACATTTAAGTACAGTAGTTTAAAAATTGTAGCATAGCAAATATTACAATATTTATATTCTAACCACGATCAGTCCCAACGCCAGTCATTTTCACTTTGAAATCGACTTAGGGTCACATCACGTTAAAACACCAATTCCCGTACGATCACCGAAGTTAAGCAACGTCGAGCCTAGTCAATAGCTAGATGGGTCACCGCTTAAGCTTAAATATACAAATAATATAATAGATAATGGCTCGGGATTGTTAATCGAAGAGCCGAGTTCCAACGCTTTTGCGCAAATATCCCTGGAAGAGTCATGAATCCACCCTTTCCCCTCCCAGCTATGGGTTAATTAGTAAGATTTCTATTCAGTCAGTTATATGCCATGCGTGATACACGCTTACGCGATCATGTATCTTTCGATACGTGACTGACGAGGCAGATTTTTCCCGCAGTAGGTTGCCATTTCTTTCTGCGGTAGACCAGTTACAAAACCCAGTCTGTCCTGCTATTTACCCATAGCTGGGGTGAGAAGAAGAGGATTCACACCTTTCCCAAGGATATTAGCACGTAAGTGAATGTAATGGATTCGACTGGAATTCGAACTCGGCTCTCAGATTCCTCAATCCGAACCGCTATCGATTACTCCACCGTGCCTAAAAAAATATTCTTACAATCTGGCTTTAATTTTCTGGCTTTAAATAACCTACAAAGGGTTGATAAACCATATAAATCGAATGAATCGATAAATTCGCCATGAATTGTTGATATCAAGATGTTGACTTACCGCAATACTTCAAACAAAAGGTTAGGAAGGAAACTTCTATCATTACTTGAAAGAGAGATAACAACTACTGGATCTGAGAAGCCTATTCTCTTGAAAGATTGAAAGGAAAGCTTTTATAAATTTCTACCGACAATGGCACTGGCTGTTCGGTCAATGAATGACAAATGTTTCATTATAAGAAAACAACTAGCATTACCATTATTGCTAACACAAAAGAAAATTAGTTCGAACAAATGATGACAGGGAGCAAATAAATTCTTATTATTACAATTATTTTACCACATTATCAAGTTAATCTTCCATTTGTAGTTTCCCTTCAGGATATGGGTGATCATACCTCTTTGCATCTTTTGTTACATCTGTCCCTTGTCTATCCCTCCCAGACTCTGTTTCCCATAAAGTTATGGTACGCTGTTTCGCTCTGCCCCTCTTGCTTTCAATATATTCCGTGAGTTTCAAATTAGCCAAGCCTTCTTTCCTCAGTATTTGTCCTAGAAATTTCAACTGTCTTATTCTGATTTTAAATACAGAAATCCTTGTTTTCATTTTACTTAAAACTTCTTCCTTGCTGAAATGTTCAGTCCATAGCATTCCCAGCATTCTTACAGATGAATAATAATAATAATAATAATAAGAAGAAGAAGAAGAAGAAGAAGAAGAACGGACACTATATTATTATTATTATTATTATTATTATTAATGTTAACCCAATACAATAGACTTAATCTACTACACGTCGCTTTCATATTTTGTTTGATAAATGCCATATTTCTTGGAATTGATAGTGGAGTGGTTTCCCGTTGCCTTCTCCACGGTGATTTATTGAGACACCACCTCTAGTTAGTTGCCCGTTGATTCGTCACTAGTTCTTCTGCCTTTTGATATGTCCTATTTTTTATCCTACAGCATTGCTAACAACCCGCCTCATTCAAAAGAAATTTGAACATCGGTAAACGACAGTTGAAATTTCTGGGGATCATAATGAGAAATGAGTGCTTGGCAAATATCAAGTTGGGTTACGCAGTTACGTTCTGCACCTCTTGCCTTCAATATGTCCTGAGAGTGTCAATTTAGCCAAGCATTCTTTCCTCAGTATGTGCCCTAGAAATTTCAATTATCCCATTCTGATTTTAAATACAAATGTCCTTTTTGTTTTGCATTTTCCTTACAACTTCCTCCTTGCTCAAATGTTCAGTCCATGAAACTCTCAGTATCCATCTATGGGACCAAGTCTCTGTTGCATCAAACCTTCTATTTATCTGAAAGTAAACTGTCCAACATTTACTGCTATATACGAGGATGGATATTACAGTTCAGCTCTTATTTCTTTGTCTCTAATGACATTTTCATGTTTTGCTTTTGAATGTCATCGTTTGCTATTCCAATAACAATTTGAAAGTACTCAAGACTGTATATTAAATTTAAGCGACCTTCTCCCTGTACTGTAAACATAAGGAATATTTTCTGGGTTTAAAGGTAATATTTTCTTGTGACCCTAGTCCTAACCCTAACACTGACTCATAGTGCTGATTCACTTTTGTTAATTTTTGTTTTTGTCTCCACTAATTTTAATCGTTTTACACAAATGTTTTGTCTTGAATAAAGCTTTGAAGAATGAGTAACGATAACCTGTTAGCATTTTTTACCATTTTACGGTAAGTCATTTTACCCTATTCTCTCCTCTTTTTTATATATTTCTATATGCTAATTTATAATTAATAAAAATAATAAACTTAGAACTTTAAAATGAAAATTACGAGAATTTAATGTACATTTTTGTGTGTGTGTGTTTTTTTATTAGACTGGCAGAAGTTCTTCCAAAAACACACTAGATTAACTAAAGCTATGATATTCAATAAATCAAGAATATCACAAGTGAATTATCAAGTTAGTCGACTCAAGATTTTGTAAGAAAATCTCAAGTGAATTATCTTGTTACCCGACTCAACAGTTTCTAAGAAAATCTCAAGTGAATTATCTGGTCAGACCGCTCAAGAATTACTAAGAAAAACTCTAGTGAATTATCTTGTCAGATCACTCATGAATTTCTAAGAAAAGCTCAAGTGAATTATCTGGTTAGCCGACTCAAGATTTTGTAAGAAAAGCTCAAGTGAATTATCTGGTTTGCCGACTCAATAATTTCTAAGAAAAGCTGAAATGCATTATCTGATCAGACCGCTGAAGATTTTGTAAGAAAACCTCAAATGATTTTATGTGGTTAGCCAAATCAAGTGTTTCGCGTCGAAACACTCTTCAGGGCTACATGTTTTATAAAGATATTGGTCTTATTAAAAAATTTCATATATTATCTTTCGAAAGAAACGCTAAACTAGAATTAGCGTTCGTTCGTTAGACTATAAATATTAGATGCATTAACTAACGCAATAGATTTATAAAACGTTTAGTCCTAATGAGCGTTTCGACGCGAAAACCTCAAGTCGGGTAACCAGATAAATCACTTAAACTATTCATGATTAATTATATATACAATTTAATTGATATTTTAAAAATGTACGTTTTTTTAGCTATAATAAAAGTTTGTAGTCCCCGTAAATTATTATTATTATTATTATTATTATTATTTCCTTTGATTTTCTCTTGGATACACATTTCCTACCGAGTCCCAACTAAAGACTAAACATTCATAAGAGCTTCATGACATTTTCCATTGATCATTTTTGTAAAAAAACATAAAAGCTAACATCATACGCATATTACATAGATAAAGCTCTTCGTAATGTGTGAACTGTACTTGCAATCCATTCAAAGAGTCTATCGAAATCTTCTCCAATCAATCCAAGGGGTCCAAATGCAGCTGGGATTATTGATGACCTTCTGTGCCACCTTTTTTTTCAGATTTCAACATCAAGATCCTTGTATTTTGATAGTTTTTTGAAAATCTTCAAAGCTACATTACAATCTGCAGGACATGCCATGTCAATAAGAAAAGACATTCTCTTTTTCGTGATCATTGATTACGATGTCTGCGCCATAAGCTTCGTTTCTTCTGTCTGTGTGTATTGTAAAGTCCCATAAAATTCTTACAGGTCCTATCTATGTAACTGGGTCTGAATTATGTTCATACCAGTTTCTTTCAGTTCCCTTCCCGTAAAATTTGCATACTTACCAGTCCAGATATAAGCCCACTTTATCATGCCGTGTTTTATATTCAGTTGGTACTAAAACCATGCTACCTGATACAAGAGGGTCAAGAATTTTCATTTCGGGATAACACAATGTTTCAGTATGTGTGCTTGGTAATTTCTAGTTCGCATACATTGCTCCTGTGCAGCAAGAATAAAACCTCCCGTTTCAGCTTTTAACCCTGCACTACGTAACCACTGGAGGGTAAGGGGTTTGTCTACATCAGCTTGTTTGGTACAGGCAGACTATTGACTATGAAGAGGCTTATCTTGCCGCCGTTATCTGCACTTGGTACATTGCATTTACTTTTGCTTTGTTTTAGCTTCTTTGCCGCTGCAGTTGGTGAATTATGGCTTACTTGCACTTCTTCATCTACTTGGTCCGTTCTACATTGCATCATTCGAAAGGGACTTAAAATGAATGCCCCCCCCCAGTGTAAATGACAGGCTTAGGGTTAGGCTTCCCACTGTGAAGGTCTGAACTGGTGAAACAAAAAATGTAGTTCACTGAACATATGCTATGAAAATATGAATACAGTAACAAGAGGTTAGAATGGTCTTTGGGGAAAGTGGTTGTAGGATGGGAAACAA